AGCCCAGACTCTACTAATCAGCAAAAAATGAAAAAAATCTCAGAGAGTGATGTACGAAGGTGTGCGATTTGGCATAGAATGGCCCATATATATGAGTCATTCCATGATATATCGCACATTGATATCTTAGAATTCTCTCAAGTTTCGTTGATTAGTAAAACCTAGGCTAATATTTTGAAAGCTGAAGAGAGAACCTAGAAAGGTAGATCTCCCGTCAGGTTACGTACCTTCCCTTTCCCAAAGTGGTAAAATTTACCAAGTTGCAGCGTGGCATGCCTCTCTTCAAAGACTTATAATTCAGCTGAACCTACTGAATAATTTAATTCTGCTATATGACTATGTAGAAACAATAGAAACAAAACTTCAAATAAGCATTTAAAAAATTATTTCAAACTTTTTTATTAAAGAAAATAAAAATATTTTGAGAAGAAACATTTTGCTCTATGACATATCGAGAACTAATAGTGGGTTTTCTCTGATGCCGAGAGTTGTTACTCAGAAAAGTGTGAAATAAAACTACTGCTTCTACAGTAATCCCACGCATTTTACAAAGGCGAAGACGTCTTCAACTGCTTCTACAGCCAAAAACATCTGCTATAAAAGTTTGGTACGTTTTATTCGTTAAATTTTTACTGAAAAAGTAATTTTTCAACCTAAATATCAACAAATTATCATTCTGCAGAGTTATAAGAAATAGCTCTTAATCAGCCTTTCGCCTTCCTCCTGCGAAATTTACGATTCTAGAACATATTTTGGTGTCACAAGAAAGTAAAGAAATTTAATCTTCTCCGCCTAGTAACTCTCGACACCGGAAAAATGCCATCACCTATTTCTGGTATATTATAGGCCAGAAAATTCTACACGAAAAGACGTTATATATAACCTTCTTTCGTGAAATAACTTGTAGAAAAAAAATTCAAAGCAATTTGACGATTAGAAACATTACTACTAATGTAAGTTACAAATGTGTTTCGGAAACTAAGTTCCTCTCTTTAAAACGTAAAGTATGTTCCTCATCTCCGCTGCAATGTTCTAAAGAAATTATCTGACCAAACCCAGCCATCACATTTACCGTTACAAGCGCACAAACCTCACATACAGAAAGAGAGCCCTCTATATAATTGGGTGCTTAGTGGGCATACGCTGGTAAGATAAGCTCCAATACCAGGTGTTTTAAGAACTCATAAGAACTTAATAAAATTATAATAGTCACTTTGTCGCTGTTAGGCACAAAAAGACTGACGAACGAGCAAAACGCATAATATTGAAAAAATAAGCCAAAAATTTGCACGCACTTCACCAGTAACAAGTATGAAATGATTAATTGTGACATACGAACCTCAGTGACATTGATATTGTTATCCAAAGCCTCCTTTATTAATGCTATAGCGCTTTCATGGGATAATTCATTAAGTGAGTATTTGCACCTCCGCAACATCGCACAGCTGATCAACCTCGCTGATAAAACTTTATAGGCATAACTGACTATCTAAAAAAACCACTTATTTCTGCGCAACTCACCATACTTTGATGGCATCATACCTTGGGTGAGGTGACATAAGTCTGGAAAAGCATAAAACATTTTAAAAAAAAAGCAAAGGTTAGGCGGAAAACTGAAGTGAAGTAACAAAATGAGGGAAAATGAACAAAAGGAAGGTGACTAGTACATAAATTACAAAAACCATCAATACCTTTTTCCCATCGTCGCGATTTCCCATACTGTTAAAGACTTCTAATCGTTTTGTTTCGGTCAACAATTTTGAATCGTCGACACCTAAAAATTTAGCCGATTTTGAACAATCGCAAAAAAACTTGGCAAAATTATTCTGTTAAACGGATACATACCAAGCTCTTTTAACTGATCTGTCTTGTCAACTGGTGAAACCGCACAAGCGTACACCATGGGACCAAGAACTGGTCCACGACCAGCCTCATCTATCCCAAGCACACATGGAAGAACACTGTTAAAGTTCTTGAAATCTGGACCAACTACGATTTCGGAGGAGACAAACCCACTTCGTAAATAAGCCATCTCCTCAAAAAATGTTGTTACTTCGACCCAAAATAAGGGTCATTTGAAAATTACTTAGCATATCACTCAACTGCCTTGTACACACACCAACAGTTAGCAAAACTTGAGAATCCCTTTAAGCAGCCGATACATGCAAGAGATCTTTAAAATACACATCCTATCACACAAATTACAGGCAAACTGCTTAAAGCAGTGAAAGTGTCAAAATTTGGCATAATCTCAACACTCTACAGGTCGAAGTTTTCGACTCTACGCATTATTGCAGCCTCCTTGCCTAACTAATTACAGACGCTGAAATCTATAGGCGTCGTCATTCCCAATTTGTGTTAAAATTTTTTGCGATTAGAGCAGCGCTCTTGCCGCAAATTTGGCTCAGTGCCACTGCGTTATATTGAGTCACGTATCAGAGCGACCTTGGGAAAGGTATGTCGAACTCCTTTGTTGATACTGTAAATGATGTGTTAAGAATGTCATATTTTTGTTCACAATTGTTTAATTTGTTCACTTTCCAGGTTTGACGCTTTTTAGTCCTTTCCTTGCCGAAATATTGCTGGAAATGTGAGAGGATTTCTATTTTTAACGGTTACTTTTGAACTTATTTACGCTTATAATTTTATTGGTTTCTAATGGAATTTGTTAATTTTGTTCTTGTTGTAGCTGCCGTGTACTGTAGATGATACATGTGGAAAAAAAGGGGGTTTTTCAAGCATTTTTAGAGAAAAAATATTTTGAACAAAATGACTTGAAAAGCTCAATTTTTCAGTAATTGAAAAAGGCTTCAAAATGTTACTTTAAAGGTAATGTTTCGCGAAAGAAACGAAAAATACGAGAAAAGGGGAATTATTTGTTAAGTAAAAATTTCAAAAAAATTAAAAAGGTATGCAAAATTGTTGGGAATTGAAGTTTTAGCGGGGTGGTAGGACGTTTATTTCAACAGCTACTTGTGAACTCACTTACTGTTATAATTTTGTTCATATCCACAGAAATTTGTTAATTTTCTTGTTGTTGTGATGGTTGTGTGTCGTAGATAATAAATATGTTTTAAAAAAATTGGGGTTGTCAAGCATTTTTAGAGAAAAAAAAACATTTTGAATGTAATAACCAAAAAGAAACCAGATTATTTAACGACTGCAGAAGGTTTTAAAAAGGTTACGGTAAAAGTGCTTTTTCGGGAACGGAAGGGAAACACACAAGAAAAGGAGACACAATTGTTAAGAAAAAATATAGAGAAGTTAAAAATTGAAGTGAAATTGTTGGAAATGGAAGTTTTTGTTGAATGAGTAGGACTTTTATATTTGGCAACTGCTTTTAAACTTACTTACTGTTATAATTTTATACACTGAACGGATTCGGCAATGCAGGCACGACGAGAAGACTGTCGCCTACACCGATGAAACATGGGTGTGGTGCGGCATGGGCATTGCAGGGACTGGGTCGTTCCGGAAAACCACCAAGACCCCCTGTCTAAAGCAGTTTCACTAGCAGCTCCAACTTTCTGAGGGGAGCCACTAGTCGTCCTGCATTGCATGACTGCAGAAAGCTTGGTGAAAAGGGCCGAGGTGGTGTTGATATCGGGGCAGCGAAACGAAGGTGGAGACTACCACCGGTGTAAAGAAAAGAGTAGAAATTGGTCCTTCTTTTTTGTTGTTGTGGGTTCGTTGCCACAGCTTTCTTCTTCTGCCCGCTGTACTATCTTCTGCC